CTCATTTTACATGAAAAGATAAGAAGATTTTATGGTTAATAAAGATTTTAGTTACAGCTAAAAATTAGATTTTAATCTGTAAAAAAAAAAAAAAAAAATTATATTGAAAAAGATCACAGGAACTCAGAGAATGTGGTTACCTTGGAAACACTAAAATGTTAAATGCAAATTAAAAACAGGAAGCCAAATCCAGGAATTGAACAGGAAACTCCAAATTCTAACTTTGTCGCAAGAATATTTTAAAATAAAACAATATACCCTCGAGTCCTTACCTGAATCGTTTTTTCCTGTGAGCAGTACTGTAAAGGATTGCATTTTTTGGAGTTTTAAAATGACTTTCATTTTGGTCATTTAGAAACTATGACTTCTGACTGCTTTGTGAATTTTGGGGTCTCAGCCCACCCCCTACTCTGCCTCTTTCGTTTTACCTGTATTATCTTGTGTGTGAAATTCCCATAACCTGTAATTGTGCAGTACGTTCTTTCAGAGCCGTGATTTTCTCCAACTTTTTGAATTTTATGTATTTCTTACTGGATCCGGCGCTGAATCACACCCAGGTCTTTTTTTTTTTTTCTTTTTTTTTTTTCTACAAATGCCGTTTTTTTTTTTATTGTCTTTGAGACATTCATCTCCTGCAGGAAATCATTTTATTTAGAACATCTCAAGCTATTTTGCATTCAAGATCACTTTAGCCTGGGTCACACTGCTTCGACTTATCATGCAACTTGCAACACACAAAGTCGCTTGACAATTCGAAACACTTCAATGGGTGCCATCTTTATCAATGAGGCTCAAGTCACAGCGACAACAAAAAGATTTGTGCACTACTTTTCCTCTACTTTGGTGCTACTTGAGTGCCATAGACTGCAATGCTGAATCACAAGTGATTAACTTTACAAAATAAGTGTCAGGACAAAGGCAAATGGCAATGGTAGATATCGTTGCGTTTTTAGTTTTTCTTTTTTACACATTTTATGATGCACTGTTTAACTTTTGATTTAAGAACATATTGTGAGACTAAAGGTTTGTTGCATCCTGACACAGGACATCTTGTGAAAACCTGTTTTTTGGATAGGAGTATGGAATTGTCGGAGCTTATTTCCAATTGGCGACATTTCTCCTCACTCCCTCTCTTGATGATACAAGTCCTGACTTGATCACAATGGATGTAAAAAGGAGTTTTCCTTCTATCAGTGGTCTTGCTCACTTGAACATTGTGTCCCCTAGACTTGTGGGGGATGCACTGCACATGCATCAATTAATAAGCTGTAAAAAAATATATTTTGTTTTTAAACTTATTGTTTGGCAATGGAACTAAAGATCCCTATCAGAAGAGTGCTTTAACCACAAAGTTCCTATTAGAGTCAGTTTGTGAAGTTATTTTAAAGCCGATCCCAATTAAATTAATACAACATATTAAAGTGATTCTAAAGGTTTTAACTTTAAAAAAAAACAAGCATGTTATACTTACCTGCTCTGTGCAATGGTTTTACACAGTGCAACCCTGATCCTCTTCTTGTTGGGTTCCCTGCTGGCGGACCTGGCTCCTCCCCGCTGTGGAGTACCCCAGTGGCAAGCTTCTTACTAGGGGGGCACTTGAGCAGGCTCGCTCCAGAGCCGTGCTCCTGTGAATGTGGATTGTCCATTCACACACAGAGCACAGCTCAGCCCGCCCCCTCTTCTCTCCTCATTGGCTCACTGGCTTTGTTAGCCAATGACTCCTGCTGCTGTGTGGGACATTGAGAGAGAGAGAGAGTCGACTCTCATGCACATCGCTGGATTGAGAAGGGGCTCATATACAAATAAGGGAGAACTGAGGTGGGAGCGGTAACCAGAAGGTTTTTGACTTCAATGCATAGGATGCATTAAGGCAAAAAAAAAAACCTGCCTTTCGAACCACTTTAAAGCCCATTAAAAGACAAAATAAAAAAAAACTATCTGCTGCAATAACCCCTTCAATGTGGAGCTGTCCTCCACAAAACTGCTTTTATGACACTAGATATCCTCATTTTTCTGGGATGAATGATGGCAACCATTTTTCAGCCAGCCTGTCTGTTCCTCTGCTTTCTCCTGCTATCAGCGTTCTTCTTGTCAGCACATGAACTAATTGTGCAACTTCTTTCTCTCCCGATGTCTGCTATACAGGATCTGCATGAGGCTGAGATCTATTCAAATTCAGGTATTTACACTGCTTGCATCTAAAAAATGCATTTAAAGGAGAAGTATGGCCAAGCTGTTTTGGTCATAGTTCTCTTGTGGGTCACGGGGCAATAAATCTGCACTGCTAAGACAGGTAGGTAAATGCTTCTTCTTGCACAGAGGAGGATCTGTGACTAGGGACCACTGTGAGGTCTGACTTCAGTCTATTATACTGGAAACTTCACAGTTTAGTTTTCCTTTAAGTGATATTAAAGGCATTTTTTAAAAATAATAAACACATCATACTTACCTGCTCTGTGTAATGGTTTTGCACAGAGCAACCCCAATCCTCCTCTTCTCGGGTCCCCCGCTGGAGCTCCTGGCCTCTCCCTCCTGCCGAGTGCCCCCCATAGCAAGCAGCTTGCTATGGGGGGCACCCAAGCAGGCTTGCTCCTGAGCCACTGCTCTACATGTCCATTTGCAGCGCAGCTCATCCCTTGTTGGCTCACTGGCTGTGATTGACAGTAGCAGTCAATGAGGAGGGAGAGTCCCAAGAGAGCTTCTGCTCTCATGCACATCGCTGGATCAAGAGGGGGCTCAGGTAAGTACAAGGAGGGGGGGGCAGCTATACACGGAAGGTTTTTAAAAAACCTTTAGCCTTTACAACCGCTTTAACTGTATCCATAATGAGGCCCCCTCCCACCCCAGACCTCCTGCTGCATGGGCTGCTATGGCCATTGTTACACAACTGAATAAGGGAATATATAATCGGAAAAAAAGGAAGTAAAAGGCCTCCTTCTGACATTTTTCTAAAAGTAGTGTGTGTGGTTTTTTTTTTTTTTAGAAAACCTAATCCCCCAGAGATATCAAGTTTAGCAATCACATGTTAATTTGATGACAAGAAAATGTATTATTGTCCATAGCGCCAGCCTGCTTTTTCACTTTAAGTAGAAAGTTGAGAACTGATCAGCTGCTATGGTCAGCAATACATGTTTTTGTTACACGAAAGCCGCAGGGTTTTCTTTAACCCATAATGTGGATCTGTCATTAAAAGTCTTGTTTGAGGCCATAGGACACATATTAACTCTACCGAACATACAAGGGAAAAAAAAAACGTGTTTGCCATGAATGTAAATATGCTGCTCTGGGCTCCATTATGTTCATTTAGCCAGCCATACACTATAGATTTACAGTATTTTGTTCAGAGGGTGGGATGAACGAAAGAAATCATCACATTTCTCCATCCAGGCTAACAGTGCGATTAGACAAATGGTCTCCGGCTGTCAGAATACCCAACTATGGCTGTATCTGATTGGACGAAGGTGCTGTTTGGCAGACAATTTTTCAACATATTCCTTTAACAAAAGCTGATCAGACAATTGACTTTTGTCAAATGGATTGTTGCCAACAAGCCCATATGCTGCCCGAATTGTGTGCCAAAATTTGAGCTGTGCATGGCCAACTTTGCAATCTAAACAAAGACGGTAGGGTTTTTGGCTACCAGGTATATGTTGGAGTGGATGTTTGACATAGAATTTGTTTTCTTAATCAGACCTTATTAGTGAGATAAGAGAATCAGTAGGAAACATAGCCGGCGTGTTTAATAACCAAGCATGGCTGCCAAGGCTGACCTTTTCACTTATACATGTAAACCAGTGGTTCCCAACCTGGGGTACAAAATATTTTTTGCAATGGTGGAAAAATGCTGTGGCATTCGGGAGTTGGGGAGTCTGTGTGACGGGAGTCACTTTGGGTGGGGGGCCCATGGAACCCAGCTCACTTATCCCTCTTATGTGTAAATCACCCTGTGTATCCATTAGGGGTACAGGGTGATCTGTCCTAATATTTAGTGGGCTTTGTCTCAGACTGTGTAGACATGTTTAGGAGATAGATGGGGGGGGGGGGGGGGTGTTGATTGTTTAATGTTATGTGACTGCATCCCATTGTTCGATTGTTTGTCTGGCTTGGGAACAAACTATTATGGGATGTACTGTATGTGTTTATGTGTATTAGCTTAGTGGGGGGGGGGGTGTCTCCAGCAGCCCTCCCTCCTGATGGGACTGTCTGCTTTTGTGAAGTTTTGAATACCTGTGTGTCTCTTGTTACTAAATGTAGATTGCCCCGCCCTGTGTCATTACGCAGGGAGGGGGGACTGTCCCCTGAGTGTATATATCTTGTATCTGTGTTCAAATAAAGTAGTCTACCTCCTGGTTTACTTCAAGACTGGTATCGTCTAGTCTTGTATGGTCGGCTGTAGTGTCTGTTGTCGGTGTTCAGACGGGGAAGCGGTATTCTAACGGAAGTACTCAAGTGCAGTCTGGGGTCGGTTCCATTACAGGCTGCTTTTTTTTTTTTAGTCCATAGAGTAAATGACTGTGGTAGGGGTGAGTGTGTGGAAGGTTGCAGAGTAATCCCATGGACGCACTCCCCCATTCAAGACTAGATGTTAATAGTAAAGGCTTGTGCGCTGCTACACCCCAAATGCAATAAAGGAAGGAGGAGATTGCTGCACTCACTGATCAAGTGTGCTATCACTTAAATTAAATAATTCAACAAAAATGTGAAGCGCATCAGAGTTTTGTTTAATTAAGACTAGATGTTGCCTCCCATAATCTAGTGTGGAGAGGAAGTGGCATAGGACAGCTACTGTGAGTGCTGAGAGCTGGACCTGTCCTAAGTGAGTCCTGAGCCGCACCACAACCCAACCCAATAGTTGCACTGGACACCAGTCCACAAAGGTTTCTCCATCAGATGAGACCCACAGCTCTCTGCAGCATTAACACCATCCATTTCACTCTCCATGGACACTGAAAGCACTGATAGTCCTCCCTGAACTGCAACTTATATGTGAGCCACCAGACTGTACCCTTGATCCATCTGCATCCTTAATGGAACAAACACCCATCAAAGAGGGAGGCCATGTGACAAGCTGTGACCAATCACAGCTCACATAGTAGTTCTCAATGGCTGCAAGAATGCAGCCAGAGAGAAGGAGAAATTATTGCTTTTACAGCCTTTATGGGTGTAAAAGCAATCAGTGTAAAAAAAAAAAAAAAAAAGATCTTCATCACCCCCCACAAGTAGTACAGTGTCACCATGGTGACACTGTACTGCTAGGGTGACAGTATGTAAAAAAACAAAAACAAATAATAATATAAAAAAAATAAAAATGTAAAAAAAAAATGTTTAAAAATGATACGTTTTGATTATAAACTAATTTGGGTTATTTTTTTTAGAAAAAAGATAACTGAATATATTTTTTCCAAGATTTATGATGACATATTATTTATTTGCAAACGTTTATAAGAAAAAACACTTTTTTAAAAATTTTTTGGACTTTTTCATTTATATAGCAAACAAAATAAAAATCCTAGTGGTGAATAAATGCCACCATAAGAAAGCTTTATCTGTTTCAAACAAATGCTAAAAAAATTCATATGGGCATAGTGTTGCATGACCGCGCAATTGTCATTCAAAGTGTGATAGCGATGACAGCTGAAAATTGGACTGGACAGGAAGGGGGTAAAAGTGTCCGGACTGGAAGTGGTTAAACCATAATACAACCCCCAACCCATGATCCGAACACTTCTCAGACCCATACCCCTTCTCTTTAGCACTGGCCAAACTCCTTCAGCAGAATACGTATGCGTTGATGACCTCAGCCCATTTGGCAAGAGGACCATGGTAAGATACCATTTTTATCCCACCTTATAAATGATTAAAAAGTAACCAATCCTATAAAACATACTATGTATTTTCATGGCATATAGTCATACATTCCAATGCTTCTCAGGTTATTAGTTAATGTTGTCATATGATCCTTTGTGAGTTATTCATTAATCTCCTGGGTTGTATTATGCAGTACCCTTTATATAAGTCAGTGTGCTCATCAATATACATGGGTAAGGTGTTCTAGCGGATCACTGTTCCATGTCATCTTCGGTTGGGTGGGATGTTTTTGGGGTTGTGGCAATTAATTATTAGATTTCTCTGCTAGCTATAAAACCATCAAAAGATTTTATTTATGTCTCTGTAAACAGAAATATATTCTATAAATTGGAATTGGAGAATTTTACTTCCTCCAATAAAAAAAATTACATAGGAAAAAAAACAAAGAATGTTCAGCCAGGAATTTTTATAATTGCCATTAAAAGTAAGGAGGATTTTTTTTTAACTCCCACAATAGGCAGTCTTAACATTAATTCCCGGCATCTGTAAGATGTGAGAATTATACTCTGCATGGCTGTCGGTGAACACATAAAAAATTAATAGTGAGTAGTGACAGGATTTACGGCAGAAGAGCCATACAGTCTCTTCCGCCTTAATAACCTACCTGCTAGCAATTTTTGAAAAGTTAACTAAATTTCAGCTGTAAAGGGAACTTGGCCTTTGTCCAAGAAGGCCAATGCTACGTACAGGTTTGATTTAATGCTTCCTAATGCAGGTGTTTATACTCCTATTTCTTTTGTTACCACGCTGCTCCATTGAGTTGGTAGGAGGGATGAAAAATACTCAATACTTCTGGGTATGGGGGAGCATGAGACTCACTTCCCTTCCTCCCATGTAACAGCAATGGTACTTAGCAAATGGTTACTCCTGCATCCAGCACTTGCACATGGGAGTGGAGAGGTGAAGCTCTGTTGACGTCCATCTTCCAATCATATGCAAGCAAAAATGCTGTTTGGTTTTTTTTGTGATTGGGTATTTTTTGCAAAGTGAAGCTTCATTTCGTTGACTAAGCTCTGGAGCAAATGCTCTTGCACTGTGCAATTACACTTGCAAAGTGCACAGTCTATTTGCCTTTAGTAAATCAACCCCATTGTGGTTTTAATTTTTAACAGTTAAAACCCCATTGTGTTTTGCAATGCATTTTGATGTTTTTGCATGCGTTTTATATGTTGGTACCTAAAAGAATTTAAAAAAAATTGATGTTTGTATAGAACTTTGAGATAAAGGTTGTATATAGTTCTTTCCAGTTGCGGAATTACCAGGGTCACAAAGGCCGCACTACCAACCGGGCCCTGGCATTCCGCCACTGTGGGGGCCCCAAGACCCACCGCAGAAAATGTGAAAGGGTCCCTCCACCCTCCTTTATCCTGTGTCTTCATGCCTGTGCTGTCCTTTGCTTAGTTCTCTTGGTACCTCCTCCCTTCCTGATGATGCATTCCGGAGTGCTGCCCTTGTGTCCAGTGTCTGGGACCCCCTCCTCTGCTGATCCCCCACCCCACTGTTTAACTGGAACTGTCTCAGTGCTGCGGTGTCTCTTCCCTACCATTTTTCTGTCCTCATCCTCAGCTGGTCCAGGTGACCAGGCCCCCAGAAGGCTGGGCTTCTGCTACTTTTCCTTTGGTACCTGCGAATCTGTGTAGCCAACTATGTGTGGGGTTACCTAAGCATCAAAGAGGTGAGAGAAAAAGAGTGCACAAGGGGCCCCAGTGAGAAAGAGAGCAAGGGGCCAGGTGCCACACTGAGAGAGAGGGGCCACACTGAGAGAGACAAGCCCCACTGAGTGGGAGACAGAGGAACCAGAGGCTACACTGAGAGAGAGGAGCCCTACAGAGAGAGAGGAACCAGGGGCCTTACTGAGAGAGGGGCAAGGGGCCACACTGAGAGGGACCCCACTGACAGAGAGTAGGGCCATGGGCCACATTGAGAGAGAGGGGCACCACTGAGAAAAAGAGGTGCCCCAGTAGTGGCAGAGCTACCAGGGTCACAGAGGTCGCATTTGCAACTGGGGCCTAGCATTCCACCACCGCTTGGGGTCCCCAAGACGGCAGGAAGGGGGCCCGCTGCAGAACATGTGAAAGCAGCACTGTAATAAAAGGCCCTGCAATGGGAGTAAAGGACCCCGGGATCTGGAGGAAGGGCCCTAGACTCGGAGGGAAAGGCCCCGGGACCGTTGGTAAGGGCCCCAGGACAGGGGTCAGGGGGGCCCTTAATGCTTTCCTGCACCAAGGCTCTGAAGGTTCTAGTTACGGCTCTGGTTCTTTCACTGATTTTTAAATGAACATGTTGAAGAGATCTTCATGATGTATATCATTTTGTGAATATGTGTTAGTGCTCATGCACTTGATTAGAGCCGTGCCAATTACGGCCAATTAGTTGATTTACTAATCAATCCTGTTTGTTCAGAAGAAAACACATTCCCATACATTATATACATTAAAACCACAGTTTTTGAAACGTAAAAAGTCGGAATGGTCCTAAAAAAAAAATAACTGTGCAATCCAGTAGGAAGGAGGTTAACACTTTGGTTTTAGCCTTATTATTATTATTATTATTATTATACAGGATTTATATAGCACCAACAGTTAGCTCAGTGCTTTACAATATAACGGGAGACAATACAGCAACAATCCAGTTGAATACAAGAGGGATAGGAGGGCCTGATCCTGGGAGCTTAGCCTTGTATAACTGGGCAGATATTCAGAGCTTCACAAATTCACCCAATTTAGGGTGAAGTTGGCCTTTAAGAAACTGTATTCCATTTTCAGTTCCACTAAACAAGTACTGTATGTAGCATGGCCTTGCATTAATAGATCAGACTGGTTTTTTGCTATTTTTATGAGTTGTACCCATTCATTTGGGCACTCAGGAGTAAAAATATACATCCAAGAATTTACCAGTAATTTGATATTTGTAAGCTGTTATAAGCGACAGGGTGGCTTCATGGTATATTCTGAGACATGGAAAGAATGATCACTATATCCTGTTGTGGTTTGTGTATTAAGCTGTGGTGAGGAGTCTAATAGCATGAATAGACGAGGGGCTTTTCACATGATGAGCCTGTTTGCGGAGAAGATTATGCCAATACTATTTTTTTTTTCAGTTCAAATAAGGCAATTCAGATGGCAGTGACTTTGCAGAATATCCATACAATCAATTTATTTGGTCTGGGACTTTAAATGAGGCACAACACACACGACCAACGAATAGTTCCCAACATTCATTTTTAATAAATGAATAAACTTCTCATTGGTTACAAAAGGAGGATAACCTGATAATCTGATTTGTAATAATTCCATATAATGCATTTCATACATAATTGGACATACAATTGATTATATACAATCCAGATGTTGATACATAATAACATTAAATTGCATCCAAAAACTTGCCGCGTTTCGTGACTCTTAGTTCACTTCTTCAGGAGCAGATGCATGTATAATATAAATCAGCTAAAAAGACATATGACAGTATTTCCAAATAGTGATCGCCGGGGGAGTCTCATCCGGGAGCTGTGGAAGTACGACTCCGTGAGAACCCAAGGGGACAAGCCAGAAGCAGATTCAAAGTGGGTGGGCAATCATGATCGCACCCAAAGTATTACATGAATCAAGAGCTGTATGTCAAAGTGTTGATTCTCAGTAGCCTCATGGAGCTCTAATTTCAATGATGTCTCCACCTTGTCCAATCAGACGCCTTCTTTTGAGAGAAATGTTTATTTATTTCAGGTACTTATATAGCACTGTCAATTTACGCAGTGCTTTACACACACACATATATATATTGAACATTCACATTGGTCCCTAACTCTCAAGGGGTGTACAATCTAAGGTCCCTAACTCACATTCATACATACACATACTAGGGCCAATTTAGACAGGAGCCAATTCACCTACCAGCATGTCTTTGGAGTGTGGAAGGAAACCGGAGCACCCAGAGGAAACCCACACAAGCACGGGGAGAACATGCAAACTCCATGCAGGAGGCACCATGGTCGGGAATTGAACCCATGACCCATTTACTGCAAAGCAGATGTGCTAACCACTAAGCCACTGTGCCGCCCCAATACAAGGTGTTCTGTTAATAGCAGTAGTGCCAAGCAATCAACCCAGGACCCAGAAGATTGTGGCTATCACTGTACTAGTGCTGACTACTACAGTGACTGTCAGCTTCCCCAGCAGCCATTCATTTATGATGCCAGAAAAAAGAGTGTTTGTAAAGTCAGGTACTGATGCTTTACGAGAAGTCAGGTACTGATGTTGGATGAGATGACTTGGCTCA